ACATAAACAAAGAAATACCATAGTCATGAACTAGAAGATCGATACTGAAAAAATGTCAGTCTCTCCAAGTTAATCTAGAAATTCAACATCTCACAAGCAAAATCTCAGCAGTGTTTTTTAGTGGAAATTTTCAAGCCAATTCAAAATTTTTTATGAAAATGTAAAGAACCAAGGAAGAGCTCAAGTCAATATTGAAGAATAAAGCTGAAGGACTTATACTACTGGTTAGCAAGCCTTGCTACAAAGCTACCATAATAAAGACAGTTTCGATACAAGGAAAGACAAAAGGTCAATGAACAGAGTCTAGAAACAGACTCAAAATGCATCACCTGATAAATGACAAAGTTGACACTGTATTAGCCGGGAATGTATCTTGTTTACTTTTTGAGACAGGGTCTCATATGTTGCCCAGGCTGGTCTCAAACTTTCAGGCTCAAGCAATCCTCTCACCCAACCTGAGTGGCCGGGATCACTGGTCCATGCCACCACTCTGGCAAAAGTATCATTTCAATAATGGTGCTGGTCTATTAGATATCCGTATGAAAAAGAATGATCCTCGGCTCCTATCTCACACCATACACAAATATCAATTCCATATATATATAAAGATAATAAAGGATAATGATAATGATGATAAAGGATAACAAACTCATTGAATATAATAAAAGTCCAAGAGTTCATACTGAAAGATGTAAATTAATAATAAAACAAAGTAAGTAAATAATAAGGGAAAGCTCTTCCTTAGAGTTTTAAGAGCTAATTAATAGATTTATAAGAAATGATGGAAGCAGGACAGTGGCCATGGAAGTCAGAATCCACTAAGGACTGTGTAACACTGTGGTAAAAAAAAAAGAGAGAGAGAAAGAAAGAAAAAAGAGACTGGGTGCAGTGGCTCACGCCTGTAATCCTAGCACTCTGGGAGGCCGAGGCGGGAGGATTGCTTGAGCTCAGGAGTTCAAGACCAGCCTGAGCAAGAGTGAGATGGGGTCTCACTACTATAAATAGAAAGAAATTTGCCAAACAACTGAAAATAGAAAAAATTAGCCAGGCGCGGAGGCGCATGCCTGTAGTCCCAGCTACTCAGGAGGCTGAGGCAGGAGGATTGCTTGAGCCCAGGAGTCTGAGGTTGCTGTGAGCTAGACTGATGCCATGGCACTCTAGCCCAGACAACAGAGCAAGACTGTCTCAAAAAAAAGAAAAGAGAGAAAAAAAAGAAACTATGGAAATAGAGAATCACTATTTGGCAACTATCAGGCAAAAATTGTCAACGGATGCTGAAACCAGCGAGTGAAAGTTTGAAGGGTAGCAGGATACTTACAAAGTTCAACTTCCCAATCTTTACTAAGTACAAAGGGAAAAATGCCAACATTACAATGGAAAAAGCTGGAAGACACTACCTTAACCAAGGGATCAAAATGAAGATCATGAGTGGTGGGATGAATTGACATCACCTGTCTCCTGATATGATGAGATTCCCATAAAAATGCGTAACCCAAATCTAGTCATGAGAAAACCTTAGATAAACCCAAATTTTAGGGCCAAAACAACTGATCTGTGCTTTTCAAAAACAGCAATGTCATAAAAGACAAAAATTGAGAAATTCTTTCAACCCTCCCCCCCGCCAAAAGTGCATAGTTTACAATTCCATTTAATAAAGCTCTAGAAAATGCAAACTAATCTACTATGACAGAAAAAAATAGCATTGACCTGGGGAGGAAAGATGCAGGGAGGTGGAGAGGGACATGAAGGGGCACAAAAAAACTTTTGGGAGTGATGGATTTTGACTCTGGTAATGGTTACACAGTGTACACACAGGTCATACTTGTCAAATTGTGTATTTAAAATGTGTGCAGTTTATCAGCAGAGTAGCACAGCGGAAGTGTGTTGGGCCCATAAAATGTGTGCAGTTTATCGTATGTTAATTATGCCTCAATATAAAGTTGTTTAAAATTTTTGAGAAGCTGTTCCAGGAAACCAAAGGAACATTTTCTTATAGGATAACTGGTGTAACATAAATGAGGTCTGTGGATTAAATAATAATAATGGTTCAATGTTAATTCCCTAATTGTGATAATATAACTGAATATCCTTGTTTTTTGGAAATACACTCTTTAGTATGTAGGGGTAAAGGAGTATTATGTTTGTGAAACTTACTCTCAATTGGTTCAGAAAAAGAGAGAGAGATACAGCAATGAAATAATATGATACAATGCTATCATTTGGGCAATCTGAATGAAAGATATACCAAATTCTCTGTACTACTCTTGCAACTTTTCTATAAATTTGAAATTATGTCAAAATGGAAGTTTTTTGAATAAAGAATGTAGTGCTTAGGATATCATGACCAATAGCCAAGGTGTTCATTCATTTGTCAGCAAATATTAGTTTTTTCCACAGTGATAAAACTTGACAACAGTGACTTCACTTGTTTGCCAGAGATATCACATGCCAACACTTACATTTATAAACTTGATTATTTGAGTTACAAATACATTTTCTTTTCATTTAACTAGCAAATATTTGTGCATAGCCCAGAGAAGCACCCATCATTGTGCCAAGATAGCCAGGTCTAGAACACATATACAGTTACGCACAGCAAGGGGTGAGGAAAGGGGTGGGGTCAGATAGGGAAGGAAGAAGGGCATGGCAGGGCCATGGAGACCGTGGCAAGACAGGCACTGGGGAAATGTAAGTAGCCAACAGCTGGACACTGCTGCAACGTCAAGTATAATGTGAAGAGATATGAAGGCAAACAAGACAGAAGAGGTCAACTGCGCCAAGATCTCAAAGGCTCTTTATTCCATGCTGCTGAATCTAGGCTTCATCTACGATTGGAAGACACTGAAAGTTTGCTCTATTTTATTTTGTTTTATTTTAAGTGAAATATATTACATATACAGAGGAATAGATTTTCAGGAATAAAACTTGAACTGCACTAAGGAGAGCTTATTATCCAACTTTTTTTTTTTTTGAGACAGAGTCTTGCTCTGTTGCCTGGGCTAGAGTGCCATGGTGTCAGCCTAGCTCACAGCAGCCTCAAACTCCTGGGCTCAAGCGATCCTCCTGCCTCAGCCTCCCTAGTAGCTGGGATTACAGATGCGCGCCTCCGTGTCCGGCTAATTTTTCTATTTTTAGTAGAGACAGGTCTCCTCCTTGCTCACTCTGGTCTCTAAATCCTGAGCTCAAGCTATCCTCCTGCCTGAGCCTCACAGAGTGCTAGGATTACAGGCGTGAGCCACTACGCCTGGCCATTATTCAAATTTCTGACATCCCTGCTAACTGATATGCTCATGATTATATCCCCAGTGCATAGCCCAGAGAAGTGCAATAAATACTTGTTGATCTGGGTGTGGTGGCACACACCTGTAATCCCAGCGACTCAGGAGGCTGAGGCAGGAAGATCCCTTGAGCCCAGGAGTTTGACGCTGCAGTGAGCTATGATAGTGCCACTGCACTCCAGTCTAGTCGACAAAGGAAGACCTCGTCTCTTAAAACAAAACAAAACAAAACAAAAGACTTGTTGATAATAAAGAGAACATTGAAAATATCTCAATAAGAGATAAAAGCCTCAACTATAGCAGTGGCCAAGAAAATGGAGAGGCAGGAGTGCTCAGATCTTGAACAAGAGGAAAGAGATAGAGAGAGAGAGAGAGAAGGGTGAGAGAGAGAGAAGAATCAAAGATGATCAAATGTTCTATTTTGGGTGACCATGTAGATGGTAAGCCATTGAACCAAACATGTAATGCAAGAGAAGGAACAGGTTTGGGAAAGAAGAGAACAAATGTTTATGCCCATTAGAGATACAGTGTACCTTAGTTAGAAATGTTACAAATCAGTAGCTTATAAGGGAAGTCTCTCTGCTAGGGATATTGCTACTAAGTGTTTTATCTAAAACACTTAGTTAGTAAACCATCAGTAACTGGCCACATTTGATCTACTCCCGTATGTGTGAAATGACTTGAGTAAAGGAAAATTATGCATTACAGCAAGGTTTTTAATAACAATATTTTAGAAACACCTTAAATGCCTATCAATACATGATTGGTTAAATGTCTAATCTTCTTGTTTGCAATGGCTCTATCAAATACAAAATCAGCATTTTCTAACTAATAATTTAAGTCAAGAATGCAATAGAAAAGGTTGACTGAATTAAAGTTCACAATACTTTTAAATCTATGTATTCTCTTATGCCTGCATTCATGTAGACACAATCCATATAATTTTAAGTGAGTAATCTGAAAATGATGAAACATATTTGGCAGGTGTTTTAAGTCTGTAAAGCAACAGTTTGAATGTTAATCATGCTCCATAACATTTTCTAAATAAATTCTAAATCAACCAATACTTTTACTACCTTAGTTTCATAAAATATAACAATAGGAACTAATGTTTGTATGCCACTTTGGAATTTCCAAATCATTTTCATTTAATCATAACAACCCTATTAAATATGTAGAGTAGGTAGAAATCATTAGCTATAAGTTGATATGAAAGCTGTATTATTGTTATGCCTCCAAGGCAAAGTTTCAAGATTAAGGATGCAGACAGTTTTATTCTTTCAAAAGAAAAGAAGTTTAGTTCCTCTGGTTTTTTGGGCTGCAAGGGAATTAATGAATTTGTTCCACTCTTAATTTTTAAATCTGTTAACTTCCAAAAAAGACATGCTAGTAGCCAAAATGAGGCATAGTGGAAATCTTTGCAAAACCACATTTCATATAATTTCCCTATGTTTCCATCAAATCCTATAATGGAAAAACTGTATGTTCTAGTTTCTGGGACAAATTCTAAAAATAAGCTAAGGCATCATCACTGCATAAGACATACTTCAGGTAGGTCCACAAATTCTTGTTGATAACTCAAAGCAACATTTTACCAAAGTAAAAGGACATAATACTGAAGTAAATCATCTACACAGATCACTGTACCAAGTGTCACAGATGTCTCCCAGCCCCTTGGATATATTTGCTTACCCCCAACCCAGCCCCTTGGCTATTTCTTACCTCTAAAGGCACAATGACCGATGGTTTCTTTTTCAGCTCTTCACATTTCCTCTTCTTACAGATCTGATGGCTGTTCTTTCTGTTCTTGCAGTAAGTACATTCACCACAGTTGGTTTTCTGCTGGCAGGGTTCACAGACCCCACATCGCTTTCGTTTCTTCTTTTCCAAAGTAGGTAGCAAAGTTGTGTAGGAAGAAGAGGAGGTACTAGAGAGTGACACTGGCATTGATACCACTGTGGTGTTGACAACATCAACCATGCTGGTCACGCTGACCTGGGAGCTCCCTCTTTCTGATTTGCTGGGACTAGCCTGGGAGAGTTGGGCAACACCCAGTGAAGTGTGGTAGAGCCCTCTCTCAGGGGCTAATGTGAACCCCTGAGTGTTAGCTGGCAGAAAGCTTATATGAACCTGCTTCTCATTTTCTACATTGCTGATAGCCATTACTGGAGGTACCAAACTTATCTCTGAGTTTGATGATGATTGAGGAGTGTGTCCTGAGCCCAAAGGCAAAATATGCATAGCACCCTGGACCTCAAGCCCACATGACACAGTGCTCTGGGGCTCAGGCCATTTGGGAGGAGCATTATAGGTAGCAATTGTGATTGGAGGAAGAGGAAGGAAGATAGGCAGTTCTGGGACAGCACCCCCACCCATACTGAGGGTTTCTTGTTGGTTTAAGATAGTACCAAAGACCTCTCCTTGGACTGGAATAGCACCAGGAATCTCTGGTGGGTCTGGGGTCTCACCCAGGGCCTCACCATGAACTGGGTTAGCACCAGGAAATTCCCATTGATGTGGGATAGCACCAAAAGCCTGTCCTAGGACAGAGGTGGTATCAGGAACTTCCTGTTGATCTGCAGTAGCTTTGAAGGCCTCTTGATGATCTGGTTTAGCACCAAGGATTTCTTGTTCTGAGCCTGTCAAGAAGGATTTTATTACAGAGGTAGGATATGTAGACCCACCAATAGACAAGCAGTTTCTAAGGTTCGATTCAGGTATAACCTTATTAAAACTGGAGGTGGGGCAGCAATCATACTCACTTTTGATAGGATCCAGGTAAGAATCAGACAACTTAAGAGATTCTACTCGTGAACCCAAGTCTTCTAACTGAATGCCGGGGTTTCTTTGAGAGGTAACTTTGGGAGCTGCTCTTTGGGGTAAAGGAGCACACATAGTGTCCTGAGCAAACATTCTAGGGGAACAACTGGTATCATTCCATGTCTCTTCAGCAAATAGTCCTTCACAACACGTCCCTTCCAAGGGCACGGAAAGGATCTCTGCTGCAGGGCCACTGTGGGTGGGGATATTGATTTTGGAATCCTCAACCCTTTGGGACCAAGACTGGCTTGTCTCTTGATTCTCACCTTTAATTAAAGATGTATTTTGTACACAGATTAGATTCTCTATAGTAGGAGAGATTAGGGTGTCTTGCATTGGTACTGAATTATTTTCCGAGTGCTTTACTCCCATGTCAGTGAGTACCTTATAATCACAATCACGTTGCTTTTCTAAACCCTTAGAAGGTGGAACTTTCTTGGGTTTGGTTATGACCACTGGGGGTTGGGAGAGTCGCCTGCTAAGAGAGGTGCTTCGGAGAGCCATTGTAAACCCATTGCAAGTTAAGGACTCTGGGTTCTGAAAAAGAACCTCAGTCCTATCCAAATTCATGCGTGCTGCTCCAGCTCTTGTCAGAAGGCTTCTGACTGGCATAGGTGGTTTAGGATCTGTTTTCTTCTTAACATCTCTTTCTTGAATTAATTGCTTTAATTTTCCAGGGCTTAAAGTCTTGACCGACGCCACATGTTTGTTGGCGGGCTTGGAAGTCTTCTTCAGCTGGCTGTTTTTCTTTTTGTTTACATCTTCCTTCCTGACTAATCTGGAAGGTCTTGCATGGCGGGATCGAGACATAGCTACAGAGTGGGGAAAAATGAAAGGGCACGGGAAACAGAGTCATTGGTCCTTTGGAAAGTCTCACTTCTGAGGAGAATCTGGATATATTGCTGTTGAGCGCAGTCACACAAGGTTTTGGTCTGAAATAACAAGAAAATACACTCTGGTGAGACTTTTTCCTAGGCATTCTTCCATTTGAAATAGAACACTTACTATTAATTATTAATTAAAATTAGGGAACTAGAATGTTTACTGCAAAAAACAAAAATACGTAATAGACCCTAAAAATACTAATGTATCCTTTTTTTTTTTTTTTTTTTTGACAGAGTCTCGCTTTGTTGCCCTGACTAGAGTGAGTGCTGTGGCATCAGCCCAGCTCACAGCAACCTCAAACTCCTGGGCTCAAGGGATCCTTCTGCCTCAGCCTCCCGAGTAGCTGGGACTACAGGCATGCGCCACCATGCCTGGCTAATTTTTTCTGTATATATATATTTTTAGTTGTCCAGATAATTTCTTTCTATTTTTTGGTAGAGACAGGGTCTCACTCTTGCTCAGGCTGGTCTAGAACTCCTGACCTTGAGCAATTCACCCGCCTCGGCCTCCCAGAGTGCTAGGATTACAGGCGTGAGCCACCGCACCCGGCCTAATGTATCCTTTAAACCTTTGAGTCACTATATATAGCTCCTTTAATTACTACGACAAAAGATTAAGTTGACAAAGTCCTTCAAATAAGGTAACAATGGGGTTTCTCTACATTAGAAACCACATCTGCTGTAGTTATATGTATTTTAAAACTTAAATCCCAATCTTCACCAATTTGAACACTTTAAAAATTAATTTTGGCTGGGCTCAGTGGCTCATACCTGTAATCCTAACATTCTGGGAGGCCGAGGCGGGTGGATTGCTTGAGGTCAGGGGAGCTCGAAAAAAGTCTGAGCAAGATCGAGGCCTCATCTCTACTAAAAATAGAAAAAGAAAAAAAAATAGCTGGGTGACCAAAAATAGAAAAAATTAGCTGGGTGTGGTGGTGTTCACCTGTAGTCCTGGCTACCAGGGAGGCTGAGGCAGGAGGATCACCTGAGCTCAGGATTCTGAGGTTGCTATGAGCTAGGGTGACACCATGGCACTCTAGGCCCGGCAACAGAGTGAGACTCTGTCTCAAAAAAAAAAAAAAAAAAAAAGAAAAAAGAGAGAGAGACTATCTCAAAAAAAAAAAAAAAAAAAATGACCTCTTTGTTGTCTCTTTCCTGAGCACATCCCCACATAGGCAAAAGTATCATCTGTTTGAGAGTAAAGCTGGTAAAGCCAGAGGAAGAAACAAATATAATCCAAGAAACTCTACTCCCTGGAGATCCAACAATATTAATACCACATTCCAATTAACAATCCACAAATTTTGAACTTTTCACATGCACAAAAATAGCATAAAATCTCAAGAGTTAGTATTGACAACTAGATTACAAATAAGACTCACA